ATACACTTGAGCGCATTCTGGTGCGTTACGGCAAATTAATGGGACCGATCAAAATGATTCCGCTTGGTTTGAAAAACCCGGAATTAAAGCACATCATGTCATTTAGGCGTCACACGTACATGATTTTAAATGCTGAATTTCAAAATCTGGAAGTTGCTGTAAAAATGACGTTGAATGGGAAAAATTAAACGATATTTATCTCTGTTGATTCAATGAAATGTTTTACATGCGGGAAACAGGGCCATGTAAGACAGTCGTGTCCTTTAAATATGGAGGCTGAGAAGGAGAGTAATTCTGTAACGGAACAGGTGAATACCGCGGCGGATAATAATAACATTGCAGAAAGTGTGTCTACTGACAATGTACAGCTAGATGAAACTGCAGTTTTATCTAATAGTGGAGAGGGTTCTGGTGTGCTTGCACAAGATTGTCCCACTGAAGATACAGACAGAGCCCCCGTCATTAGTACACATGAAGGTGACAATGCTCTAGTTGTTGAGGAGCTCATTGCTTCAGGGGTAGTTAGATGCAAAATACTCAGAAAAGCAAAGTGAGCCTGAATACTCGCCTGTCCAAAGCAGCAGCCTGTTACAGGATGATATAGATCTGTTGTCACAGAGAACTGATGACTTATCTGAGAATGATTCTGAAAGTGAATGTCCAGATATTGGAGAAGAACACGATGCCAATTCACAAGGAAATTCTGTGGGGAATTTTCTTACTCCCCATTTAAAACCTCCTTTTACACAGCTCAAGAGTTGAGCAATTTCCTAGACGCTACTAAAAATCAGAGAAAACCCAAATTGGATAAACACTTTCCTGATTTAGAACTTTTTGTGGAGTCTGGTGCCATTGCCATGCGAAAGGCGACCTTGGAGGAACTAGATCAACCAAAACGCTACAGGCTTAAAAAACTTGTTAGCATGGTTAGAAAAAGTCTAAATTCGCGTCTGAAAAAACATTGATCTTATGAAAAGTGTTAAAAGGCAGATGTGGTGGGTGGTTTTATACCCCTTTATTATTTTTGTCATGACTTTTTTTAATATTGGGTGTCTAAATATTAATGGTTGTCATAGTTCAGTAAAAAGAAATGATCTTTTCAATTATTTAATTCTTAAAAAGGCTGATGTGATTTTACTTCAGGAAACGCACACAGATTTGCAGAACCAGTCACAGTGGTGTAGTGACTGGAAGGGTAATGTTCTTCTGAGCCATGGCACAAACGTGAGTGCAGGGGTAGCGTTTTTGTTTTCACCCCGGGTTGGTGGTATTTTAAAGAGTTTTGAGATAATACCAGGAAGAATATTACGAGTAGATGTTACTTTAGGTGACACAGTTTTTTCTCTGTTTAATGTGTATGCTCCAAATGATGGCCGGGAGCGCATCACTTTTTTTGAAAAACTATCAGATGCATTATCGCACTGTCCCCAGAATAATATTGTTTTACTGGGAGGTGATTTTAATTGCACTTTAAATCAGAAATTGGATCGGAATCATAATGAACCACATCCTCCTTCAGCCAAGATTCTGAAAAGTGTAATTGATTATTATAATTTTGTCGATTTGTGGAGAGATGCATTTCCTGGGCTTAAACAGTACACATGGATGAAAGTCAACTCAAATAACATGTCTGGAGCTAGACTTGATCGTTTTTATACTGAATTATGTAATAGGGGAAGGTTTTTTAGGAATTCTATTTCGCCCACTTTTCTCTCAGACCATCATTATATTTGTATGGCTATTTCTGTTGAGACCACTAAATCCTACAAATCACTTTGGCACTTTGATAACGGTTTACTTCAGGATCACTGCTTTGTCCACTCTTTTCACCTCTTTTGGGATTCTTGGAGAGAGGAGAGAGTACATTTCCCATCCTTAAGTCAATGGTGGGATGTCGGCAAGGTGCAGATAAAAATATTCTGTCAGCAGTTTACTGCACATACCAGGGGTGCCCTAGTGGAGAAAATGAAAGCCATTGAACAAGAAATCCTTGGAGAAAGCAGTCACAGTGCCACAGGATCCATCTCCACTGACTCTTTTGAACGAAAGAAATTTCTGTTACGCAGCTTGGCGGAAGAACAAGGAAAAACTGCCCTTGTAAGGGCAAAGTTCACCCGCCTAAATAATATGGATTCTCCTACTGCTTTTTTCTTTGGACTTGAAAAAAAGCCAAGGGCGCATAAGCATCTTCATCAACTGAAGCTTCCAGATGGAAGAATATTAACAACACAAACAGAAATGAATGCTTTTGCTATTTCCTTTTATGAAGATTTATACCGTTCAGAGCCATGTAATGGAGTAGAAGCTGATGTTCTTCTGAGTGACTTGCCTCAATTATCAAACAGGGACAAGATGGATCTTGAGAGCCCTTTGACAATGGCTGAACTTTCGAGAGCTGTCCAGGAGTTGAATCCTGGAAAGTCACCTGGTTTGGATGGTCTTCCATCCGAGTTTTATAAAGCTTTCTGGAACTTCATTGGCCAGGATGTGTACGATGTTTTGGCGGAAAGCATTGAAAGAGAGACCCTTCCTCTAAGCTGTCGGAGAGCGGTTTTAACTTTGATCCCCAAAAAAGGAGACCTTGGTTGCTTAAAGAACTCATTCTCATAACTCATAACTCTTACACGCCCCGTCTCCTTGCTGTGCGTTGATCTAAAAATCTTTTCGAAAGCCTTAACCAACAGATTGAAGAACTGCATAGAAACTGTTATCCACAACGATCAGTCTTACTGTATTCCTAACCGAACAATATTTGACAATCTTTTTTTGGTTAGAGATATCATTTCAGTGGCAAAAAGGCATAACTTGGACATTGGTCTACTTTCTTTGGACCAAGAAAAAGCCTTTGATAGAGTGGACCACTCTTATTTATTTAAGACTCTTGAGGCTTTTGGATTCGGTCATCATTTTGTGTCTTTTATCAAGCTCATGTACAGTGATATTTATAGCATGTTAAGAGTAAATGGAACATTAACTAGACCTTTTTCAGTGACAAGAGGAATAAGACAAGGGTGTCCTCTATCAGGTCTACTCTATGCTATTTCTATTGAGCCTTTTTTAAGTCTGTTGAGAAAAAGATTATGTGGTATTGGTGTTCCTGGTTGCCCCAAAGTACCCCAAGTAAAACTTCTAGCATATGCAGACGATGTAACTCTGATAATTAGAAACTCAAATGATATTGAAAATAATATTTTTCAGAATGCAACCTCTGCACGTATAAATTGGGGAAAATGTGCTTCTTTGTTAATGGGAGATTGGCATAGTTCAGGACCTCCTAATTTACCAAATCATTGTAAATGGGCACAAGATGGTTTAAAAGTTCTTGGCATATATTTTGGAACTGATCAGTACATGGAGAAGAACTGGGAAGGAGTGGTTGACCGGGTTATTGGTAAAATCCAAAAGTGGAAGTGGATTCTCCCTCAGCTTTCATATAGAGGGAGATGCCTGGTGATTAATAATCTGGCCGTTTCAATGCTGTGGCATAAGGTTACAGTGTTAGATCCCCCTAAAGAACTGCTTTTAAAGGTTCAAAAGGCATTTGTTGATTTCTTTTGGAATGGCCATCATTGGCTTCCTCCTGGAGTGCTGTATCTTCCCGTTGCAGAGGGAGGTCAAGGCCTTATACATGAATCCAAAATTGCAGCAATGAGACTACAAACATTGCAAAAACTGCTGTACTGCTCTGATGGTATGCCATGGATTGATTATTGTTTGTATATCCTTAAAGAACTTTGGAGGAACAGATCTTGACAAAGAGCTGTTCTTAATTGAGAAGCCTTGTGTTAAAAATGTGTATGGTTCTTTTTTCAAGTTCTATGAATCAATTTTTCAATCATGGAGTTTGTTAAAATTTTCAAGAGTGGGCGATGAAAATTATGGATGTGCAGAACCTTTGTTTTTTAACTCTTTTTTTAAGCTACAGCCTCCATTATCAGGTTCTGTAATTAAAATGTTTCTGAATGCTGGAATAACTAGAGTTATAGATCTGCTTGATATAACAAGAGGTCAGTGGCGAACGGCTCAGTCACTGGCTGACCAGGTTGGGTTGAGGTCAGTAAGAATAGTGGAAAGTGTAGTTAAGAGCTTTAAGGCCTGTTTCCCCCCGGATTTCACAGCATTTGTAGATTCTGCTTTAAATAATGGCTTGTTATCTAAGACTTTTCCGGCATTAAAAGTTGTTCCTAAAAATTTGGAAATTGAAGAGAACACTAAGGTTCTTTTGTTAAAGGGGTTTGAACTTCTGGATTTCCAAAGTATGGGGAAGAAAATGGTTTATTTTGTTTGTGCTAAATCGGCACACTTTGGCCAGTTGAAGGAAAGGGTAGACACTAAATGGAGGATGTACCTATCAGTGCCCAGAGATGTGGATCCTCCGATTCCCAAAAAGTGTGGAGATCTAGAGTGGAGAATACTCCACAGTGTGTTGGCTACAAACAACTTTGTTTCGAAATTTAATGAAGTGGTTTTACCTGAATGTCCTTTCTGTAAGGCTTCCGATACTGTTTTTCATTTATTTTGTGAGTGTTCAAGGCTGGTTCCACTTTTTGCACTTTTGGAAAAACTAATTATGAAATTGGGTTTTTCTTTTACAAACACCCTTTTTATTTTTGGTTGCAAGTATAAACAGTCATGGCGCGAACAGTGTGTGCTTGCCAATTTTTTAATGGGCCAAGCCAAGTTAGCAATCCTGAAAACACATCAATGTAAAAATGCTGCTCAAGATGTTGATTTGTTGGTACTTTTTAAATCATTGGTAGAATTTAGGGTTGCTATTGAATTTGCATATTACAAACAAATTGATAATGTACCTTTTTTTACAATGAGGTGGGGCGTGAAAGATGCTTTAGTGATAATTAGTGAGTTTGGAAATTTGTTTTTTAATTGGTAAAATAACCAATACATTTTTTTTATTTTATTTTTTTATTATTATTATTATTATGTGTGTGTTTTGTATATTAGCTCTGTAATGTCCTGGAAAATGGGGTAAATTAAAAGGG